ATGTGATATATGTTTGATATACATATGGTATGAAATTGATTTACTTCTGATATAACTATGATATCTACTACTATATGTGACATAGAATTGATTGACTTCTGATATACTATTGATTTACTTATGATATAACTATGATTGACAGATATACTCTTGATATAAATGTGATATATATTTCATATATATTTGATATGAAATTGATTTACTTCTAATATAACTATGATATATACTACTATAGGTGATATAGAACTGATTGACTTTTGATATACTATTGATTTACTTATGATATAACTATGATTAACAGATATACTTCTCTTATATATGTGATATATGTTTGATATACATATGATATGAAATTGATTTACTTCTGATATAACTATGATATCTACTACTATAGGTGATATAGAACTGATTGACTTCTTATATACTATTGATTTACTTCTAATATAACTATGATTAACATATATACTCTTGATATATATTTGATATATGTTCGATATACATATGATATGAGATTGATTTACTTCTTATATAACTATGATATCTACCAATTATTTCGAATATATTACCTCTAATATATGTTTTATCATATACTAATATATGAAATAATTTTTTATCAGATAAAAGCAATGGTACAAACACAAAAAATGAAATAAAAAAGCATCGTCGAAAATGTTGATGTCGTTCGTCCCAAAAGACAACATAAACCAACGCCAAAAGTGTTGTCTTTGGAAAAATGAAAAGCTTCAAAGATAGTATCTCCGAAAACACGACAATCACCAATAATGAAGATTGATGTCTCAAGCTTTTACCTAACGATTATACAAGAATGAAACTTACGCTTTTCTAGACTGTTGGAACTTATGCTTATGGAACTTATGCTTCTTCTTTTATAGAATTTTAAGAATGACATTGTTAGTCTACTTTTGGTTTATGCTACTAGTTCGTTTTGATGTTTAAACCTTTAAGTTTTTGGTTGAAGGACTTTGCTGCTGATTTGATGTTGATGTTGATACCCAAGAATGATATTTAAACCTTTTAAGAATGACATTGTTGCTGCTTTCATTTTGATCTTTAAAACTTTAAATAAAACTTAATTGTACTATTGATATCTGTACAATGTATATTTGATATATCACTGATATATTATTGATATACAGAAAAACCCTAAGTTTCTATTTACCTCTAATTTCTAATTGATTTATCATTCACAGTAATTTCGAAAGTCACCATTGACATTCACATTCACGTTCCTTTCAAGTTTTCTTTCTCATTTTCAGTAAGTATCAAATTTTTTTCTCATTTTCCATGCATGCCAATAYCTACTAATTTCTAATTGATCAAAAAAATACAAGACAAAGGGTTAAAGCAGGTAAAATAGTGATTTACTATTATACAACTGATATAGAACTGATTGACTTTTGATATAMTATTGATTTACTTCTGATATACTAATGTTGTTAGATATACTCCTGATATATATGTGATATATGTTTGATATATAATAACGAAGCGATAACTGAAAAGGGTAATTTGAGAATACTTAAAATTTTAAAATCAGGATTTTCAAAAAAATGCTATATCTGAAAATATAAAAAATGCATGCTATTTTGTTAAATATAGAAAACTTATATGCTAACGATTACATATCCCCTAAAAAATTTAAAGGCACATTACGCACTTTTTGAAAAACAGAGAATTAGATGAACAATATGATCTTAAAAGTACATAAGAAATCTACCAAATCGTTTTAAATATAGGGACAAGAGTTTAGACAGAGGGACTAAATAGAAATCTTTTGAAAGTTTATTCTCAAATTAATTCATTAGGTTTTTATATACATTAATATATTTTACCAGCTAGCTTTTGAGCCTGAGAATTGGTAAGCTTGGCTGCAAACCCAGAAAAGCCATGCCTATAGCTGTACACCATTGATTCCCACGACTTCTCCTTGCTTCATTATCAAAAATCATAATATAATTAACACTAAACTTTTTTTTTTTCAATTAAAAATTCTGAGCGTAGATTAATTACCTTCCCAATACAGTGGCCAGTAATTCATGGTGAGTCTCAGTTGTCAGTTTACTATCTTCGTGTTGAGTTTCTCCCAAGTAAACGATGTGAACCTGAAGAGAAAAATTATCAAGTGATGGAATTGGTCAAATTTTTTAATGTAGAATATGGGCCAACTCCATGGGTAATATGTACCTTGCGATTCTGGTCATCAGCTTCTGCCATGGATTTGCATGAAAACATTGAAAACAATGCATAGAATGACACAAATGCAGCAATGAAATGAGATTTCCCCATGTTTGTCACCCACCCTATGTTTTCTGAAAGGAACCAAATTTAAAGTGATGAAGAAAGAACAACCATTCGACAGAACGGAGTGGCTGTGAGATACATGGGGTACAAACATCTGTGGTTTTATAGAAAGAGCTGATGGGACTGAAGACCCATTTTGCTATATTATAATATTGATTATTTTTTTATTTTATATATAAATATCGTGTTCGAGCCCATTTATGCACATCTTCCTTAATTTTACGAGACAACCGCGTACCCTACCATATTTGATACCAGAAACACAGAACAATTAATTTATAAATTTCCCGAAATCCTGACCCCCTACAGTACAGTTTGGTTTGAGTTGAAAATTGATAGCATTTTATTATGTTTTTAAGCCTTTTTGTATGAAATTCTTGCAGTCTCCGCTGCCAGGCCGTGTTGGAGCCCGTATAATTAAGGTTTTTTTTAAGCACTTCGGTGTGCTATTTTTTTAATGCAACATGTGGGGATGAGGATCAAACTCACAATATTTTAGTTAGATATATATGTCAATTAGCACTGAACTATGCTCGTTTTTACCTCTGAAACAATTCTCGTTATATTAATATGTTGCCTTTTTAAAATGAAGGAAAAAATCATACAATTTAGGATTTTATGTCATTTTTATAGAAAAGTTTGGAAATTTTCTTTATACAAATATGTTAAATTTTGTTATAAAGAAAAGATATATATCGATGGAATRTTAAAACCATAATTTTATAAAAGAACTTTTATCGTTGGTGCAGTTACACCGCATACTGTTCTGGACCTAAAATAAATTATTTTAAATTTATACAAATATATGTCTTCTATTTGGTCTAATATTGTTACTGGTAACTTCCTGGCTTGGTTTTATTTTCAATTTAT